TATGAGGCTTGCACGGTTGCTTCGATTGCACACACACCTGACACTTAGAATCTTTGACTAAGTTAAATTTTGGGATTAAATTCAGATTTGCAAGCCGCGTGAGATAGCTAAAATTAATGTGACAGAGTCGTGAATGCCATATATTCGACTCATCTAAAATATTAACATTGTTCACCACTTTATTACACACATCATCAAGCAAAGATAAGCGGAACAAGCCTCCGCAATCATAATCTTTTCTAATAAATGTTCAATGTCTCGACATAACACATTTATTGGACTCAAGCATAATTTTAACGCCATTGCGACACATCTGAGAAGCGCTAACAAGATTCTTCTTGATAGAGGAGACATGTTGCATGTTCTTTAATAGCACCGTCTTTCCCGAAGTAAACTTCAGAACAACCGTACTAGCACCAAGAACACGCGCATGCGAACTCGTTCCCATCAGCAAGGCTCCAGTCTTACCGGCCTGATAGGAAGTAAACAAAGAAACATCAGCATACACGTGAATATTAGCACCATTGTCCATCCACCACTCGGGTGAAAGACAAACTGAGAGAACAAAAGGTAAAGGATTACCATACCCAGATGTTCCTCCTTCTGTCTCGCTAATTACCACGTTTGTTGATTTCTTTTCTTGCTTATATTTGTGGTCTGGGCACGCACTTGCCCAATGCTCATCACTCCCGCAAACAAAACAACATCTACCTTTCTTGTTGTTTTTCTTCTTGAACTGTGCGGTCTGCTTAGGCTTTGCATTGTTGTTCTCTTGCATGTTCTTCTTCTTTTTATTACGAGATGCAAATGAGTTTTTCTTCTGCACCATATTAGCGGCGGAAGACTCAACTCCTTTTCCATGGTTGTCTTTTGCTCTCGCCCTCTCCTCAACATCAAGAGATCCAATAAGCTCAGCCATCCTAAACTCTTGTCTCTTGTGTTTTAGAGAAGTAGCAAAACCCCTCCAAGAAGGTGGCAGCTTAGCGATTATACTGCCGGCCACAAATTTGTCGGGCAACAAACATGGAAAATGTTCTAGTTCCTTTGCTAGCGCTTGTATCTCATGAGCCTGTTCGACCACAGAACGGTTTTCAACCATTTTATAGTCATACAGTTGCTCCATAAGGTACAGCTCACTACCAGCATCAGAAACTCCAAACTTTGCCTCAAGAGCATCCCATAACTCTTTGCCTGATGTGCAAGATATATAGTTTTTCTCATACTTAGGATGAAGTGCACTGATCATGGTGCCTCAAAACAGGTTATCGACAGCTAAGAACTTTTTCTCCTCCTCAGGAGTAAACTGTTTAGGCTTCCCCTGTGCGGCGTGATAGCAATTCATCGCAGTCAACCACAATACCATCTTGGCGCGCCATATCATGAAATTCTTGTCATCAAAATTATTTGGCTTCAAAGCAGCAGCAAAACCACTGACAGAAAATTACCTAATATTAGGTTTTTGGATTGTTAGAAATTTAGGCATTTTCATTATCAGTTTAATCCAGAAAATTAATATCAGCAGGTTTGTGACGGCATATATGTGCATGTGTATATCTCTAACGAAAGCTACATCATGCAGAGATGACATACAGATAAATATAATAAAAGCACAGATTACAGTAATCAGAAAGATTAGACTATACCCAGCGGAGGGTCCCATACCGAGGGCATCGGAGACTCCATTCGCACTAGTCGACATAGTGCGTTACTTGAAGTCGCGGACCACAGTCGGTGCGGGACGATGTTCACAGTGCAGTCCCACGAACGGATCACCAGGAAAAAGACGCCTTAATGTTCCGCATGCAATCACCAAGAAGAGGACGGGATTCAAGAGCGATCACCACCAGGAAGAAGACGTACGTGGACGAGCAGTCGCGGATCGCTCCCCAAAAACCTAATCGCCGCACACCCCGTGCAAGGTTCTCAAGCGGGCGAGGGTTCCAGAGGCATCTGCTCTCCCGCTGCTCCGTGCGCGCAGAGGTACGGGACGGGAAAGCCAGAAGGCTGCTGAGATGTGGTTTCTCTCGGGAGCAGTTGCGGAAGACGGAGATCTGGACAGAAGGAGGACTCGGATATATGGGTGCGACGGGAAGGGAGAGAGGCAGCGGAGAATCTCAGGAGACGGAGAAACGGAAGCGGAAAGGACGGTAACTGACGCAATCAGTTCGCCTCCACCATCAAAGGGAGTAACTCCGTGATTATGTGAATTAAGTGGCAAAAGACTGGCCACGCCCGCCCGCTCGCCCGCCGCCCGCCTCGCCACGGCCACGGCCCGGTCGGCGGCGCGCGCACGCGTGGCACGCCTTTATCCTTTTTCTCAGCTTCTCAAATTAGATGAATAATTTCTAACCATATAAGCTGAGTCAACGTTCACTCAAAATCCCATATGGTATTAAACCATACAACATTTAATATTACGTATCATAAAGTTTTATTTGATTTATTTAATATTATATGGGCCAAGTCTATATTATATCCAACAAAGACTGGTCCTGGTAGCGCGCCTTGCAACCCGCTAGAGCGCTGCGTGAGTGAGTTTTGGCTTCACAGTGCACCCGTCGTAAGCTGTGAAGCTATGACAGTTTTTTGTGTGTGCAATTCAAGCAAGGTATTGGTAGAGACATGTTTTCGACACACAGGCAAACAATAATGTGCATCCATAAGAAATGTTTTTAGGATTATGTATGCATGTACGAGGTAACCACAAATCCTATGCAATGAACCAGCCAAGGATAACCCTATTTACACAGAAAATTATATCATAATAACTATCTTAAGATAGTTGATGTGCAGTTTTATACTTCCTCTGTTCCTGAAAGAATGATTTTCTAGCCAAAATTTTGTCTCCAAAAGAATCGAGAGGTGAACGATTCATAGATCCATATTAATCTCTCTTGTAGTCTGAGTCGCATTTAACATAACCTCTCTCTCTCCTGCGTTGCTATTGGATACTCTAAACAACACTGCTTAATTAGGCTTCTCGGTAACTTAGAGAGCTATTAAGGTTTAGTAGTTAAATATTTTAATGAGGGACAGCATGGTCTTTTATCTTTGTTGATAATCTATTCTAAAGTTACTAGGAATTTATCTTTTCAGGATAGATGGATTACAACTCTCTTAACAAAGGGGGAATTCCTTGTGTGCCATTAAAAAAGATCGCAATGCCCTGTGTGTCCCTGGAAAAGTTCAGTGGTTTTCAACGCCACTGCTCTAACTTTTTTTGTGCCCTCCATGCCACTGCCGTCAGTTTGGGCTTCTAACACCGTCAAACTGCATGTGTGGAAAATACGAAAATATCCTTAAGTCTAAATATGTCATTAAATTTTTTTGAGCATCTTAACGACTTCAAATGAAAAAACTCAAAACTAGAAAGTTATATATCTCGTTGAGATCTATAATTTTCATATAAAAATTATCTTCATTTAATTTCAAAAAAAAAGATATAATTTTTCTAAGATATATTAATCATATCCAATCATATTTTTTGCATGAGTAAAACTCGTGAACATAGACAGTACAAAATTACCATTTGCATAAGGTAACAGGACCATATATCTTCCAAGAAGCGGGTAAATAAAAGCAACCATTGCATCTTAGGTCTTGTTTGGATTCCTATAGATTATAGTTATCTGTTATACCTTTTGAATCCAAACAGGTGCGGTTAATAAAATAGCTAATTATTAGTTAGACCTCTAGATAATAATTATCTCACTAGTTGAACCAAATCGGATAATAACAACTAATAGTTATCTTATTAGGAGCATTTTCATTAGCTGTGCATCCAAACATCCTCAAGCTAATAGGTAGCTAATACTTAGCTAGCTAATATTAGATATGAGCTATTAGCCAGCTAACTATTAGTAGATAATGAATCCAAACGGGACCTTAGGAAAATCATTGTATCTTAGTGATCTTAGTAATTGGCCTAAGATGATCTACAGTAAACCATTGTTGTAACCATGATAAAAGAAACACGGCGGACAAAAATGTCTTAGTTTTTTATTACCCAGAAAGAGCACATGAACATATAACTGATAAAAGAGGTAGATGTTCTAATCAAGATTATAGCGATGGACGCCTGTTCGTTTGATTTATAAAGCGTATTTTTTCAGCCAATAAATAATATTTTTCTCTAACAACAAATCAACCAACAGTCCTTTTAGCTATAACTTATTAGCCAAGCTAACAGGGCAGGAAATAATTGAGTACATGGTAGTCAAATCAAAAGGTATGAAAAGCCGCGCGCCCTCCGTATCAGTTGTTCTAGTCAAATAATTACGATACAGAGTATATCTTCTATTAGTTTTTTTATTACCTAGAAAGAGCACATGAACATATAATAAAAGAGGTAGATGTTCTAATTAAGATCATAGCCTAAGGTGATTTGCAGTATCATGATGGAAATAGTTTAAATTTAAATAATTATACGCTCACATATGTTTATATAATTTATAAATCATTATATACGATACGGAGTATATCATTATCTTCTATTCCACCCCCAGTCCATTTTGTATTTTTTTTTCAATCTATTCTTGATCTGTTACTGGCACGAGTACAATATTTCTTTTCTTTCATGTCAAGACAAGGCGCCGCTCGTAATTAGTCCCCTTCCTCTCCATTCCACTCGTCCCCTTCCTCCCGTTCCGTCTCGCAACAGGCGAGGCGACAGAACTCGTCGTGGAAGCGAAATATATAGCCCGGGCAGGCGGTCACCGATCCCAAGTCCCAACCCGACGCAACGCAACCCAACCCACCCCGTCCCGGTTGCTTGCGCCAACGCAGGCGCCCGCCCCGCCACGCCCCGCCGCGCGAGGTAACTAATGCCTGATGCTCCTCCTATCCCGACCCAGGCCCGATGCTTGCGCTTATTGATTTCTCCGGTGTTTGATTGATCCTGCGCGCCATAGGTATCGTGCCGTAGCTTCCCGCGGCTTCGAGGTGGGTTGGGGTAGGTTTTGATCTCGGTTTTGCTTGCTCTGGGGTGGGGTGGTGGTGCCATGGCGAGGACGGGGCGGGAGGGGAGGCGGTTGTGGCCGTCATGTGCTTTTCTGTTTCGGCGCGCTTTGGGTTCGATTCTGATGGGGTTTTCGGCCATCGATCGCGTCTTGGTCCTGCACGCAATGCAGAGGGGGTTACGGTTCCTTGTGTTCTTCCTCCCCGTGTCGGGACGCTGGTTGGTTACCGGCTTACCGCACAAGCGACGGGATGCTTGGGCCGTTGTTTCCTTTTGATTTGATCTCTGTGACCCTTCTGGGAATCGATTCCATATCCGATTGGTCGCAATGTGCGGGAGGTTTTTTTCTTGTGCTGTTTTCCCTCGCTGGCTGGTTGGATTCTGCCGCGAAAAGTTCTCCCCCTTGCGCACCTTTTTCCTCCTCCAGATATCTTTATTCGTCGTTTTCGTGGTTCCTTATGGGTGCTTAGATTCCCTTGTGTGGTTAAAAGGCCAATAAGCTGCAGTGTTTTTGTCCTCATAGTTCTTTCCTTGTGACAGGGGAACATCACAAATTGTTTGGTATCTTCGAAATTAATTATTGTTGATCATGTTGTTTGTAGCGATTGTTTGTAAGGTGAAACATGTTATGTGTTTGGTGATGTTCTTACTAGCATTCAAATGACTCCAGATACATTAGTTGTTTATCAGTTGTTTTGTATCTGGTGGATTCTCCGGTATATACTTGGACCCTTATGTTTAGCGGAATGATAGTCAATCAAGTGTTCAGGATTCATGCTTGGGCACTTGTGGGGTGAAAAATATCTTATTCGATTTTGTTAAACTGTGAAGTGATTCATTCTTAATGAAATGGATCATATCCCTTTTTCAGTATTTTTTCGTGTTATTTGCACTCTTAACTAGTTAGTTTAGTTTCAGTATTTGAGGTGTGGTCCTATTTGCTATTATCAAACAGGAAGCATAAGATAAGAGAAAAGTGTATGTGGCTTCATTGTCAGATTTAAAACATCCATACTTGTCTAACTGATTGTCAAGTTAGGTTGCCATATCCACATGGTTTCCCATTACACATTTAATTGTGGGATCTGTATGATTTCACATGACACATTTATAACATCTGTTGTACGTTTCATGGATGATTATTTAATTATTGTATCGTAATGGCCCATTTCTTAGGGCTTTTTTACATTCATTTGGGCAAGTTGTTGTTGACATTTGGTGGTCGCCATTTATTGTGCTTATGCTCTATGGTTGAACGGTGTGCTTCATTATCTGACTTGTCTCTTTCACTAGGTTGTTGAGTCTAGATACCAGATGATGGACCTGTCCACGACTTCAGTGCTGGCAGCTAAGGCCTACAAGTACAAAGCAGAATCGCTTGTTAAGGAGTACCTTCTTGCAGATTCGTATGTTTCATACACTGCTGTACTTGGTGGGATCCTGATGTGCAAGATGGTACCATTTGCCTCCTCTTATCTGTTGACACTTTGACATTTTATGATCAGACTTCCTTCAAATTAATATATGCTCTCAGTCTCATGTTTGTATTTAAGTGGGAGCAAAGCATCGCTGTAAGTTTAGTAGTTCCTTTTTTAGAAGGAAGTTGCTATAGGTAAACATAGAACTATGGAGGAGATTAGAAGTAAACAAAACTTATAGATGGAAGGAAATTAGATCATCGGTGTATCTGAGATTGGTTCAAAGTTGAAATTATTTGTGATTTTGACTATGATTGTAGATGCCAATTGTGGTAAATTTCCAAATTACTGTTGTAAAATAGTTTCAACAGTTTGCTTGGACTTATAACATCTGGTTTATTATGAATTGTTGTGATTTAGCTGAATTCATGGTAAGTTAATATTAATGAACACCTTTGAAGATAAGTATGTTTTGTGTTTACATAAATTAACATGAATGGATCTTATTAATTACCCCATTTTAACAAAACTGTTTGGCAGAATGGTAGCTAAATTTTTTTTTTGTTGAATACACAGCTTATCATTGCATTAAGAACAAGAAATGTGAGGACAAAACACAAACAACGCCCACCACACCCGCACCGAGATATTTGTGACTCATTTGTTTAATCTCTGTTAGTTCATTTATTAGGCCCAGTGTCACTTTAGTATTTTTTTGGATAACTCAGCTGACTTCAGGGTGCCTTAGAAAATTAGCTGGATTGAATCATTAAATGTTTCTGAAAAAGTTCTTGAAGTATTGCAAACTTGGACAACATTCGGTGTAGTTATCCTTAGCAAGTTAGCAAGTGTGCTGCGATATCAGTAGGTAACAACACACAAACAATAATTTTGTCTGTTACTGTGCCAGCCTTAAAACTGTTGCATGGATTTGTTGTGATTAATTCCTACGTGCCAGGAGTCCAGAACTCTAGTTAGTTCTGTTTTGAATAAGTTCTACCCAAGGCTAACTTTATGTTTTGTTTTCTCAGGCTTATGACATAACAAGTATAATCAGCTTATTGTACTACAAGGGTTATGGTTCACTTACAAAAACCCAAAAGCTTGAGTGGAACAACAGGTTAAACAGTCTAGTTTCAAAATCTATGCCCAATTTCGCGTTACTTCTATCAGAATTTATGTTCAACATCCACTGTTTACTTGTTCAGGGGCATGTCCACTATCCATGCGATATTCATCACAGTCATGTCAGTGTACCTGGTATTCTTCTCCAACCTATTCTCTGATCAGCTGGATGGACCAGTAACTTTTCGGAGTTCAAATCTATCCATTTTCACTCTGGGGGTAAAAGATGTTAATATTTCATTCCCATTCAAGAAAGTCTATGTTATCATTTAGTTTTGTCTCTTTTTGCCTCATATGAACTGAATTTTAATTTGTCCAGGTTTCTGTTGGGTATTTCATCGCTGACCTTGCTATGATATTCTGGGCTTATCCTTCTCTTTGTGGTATGGAGTATGTAAGTGAATATATCAGATCACTAACATATTTTTCATTTATATATCTCCTTGCTTTCAGTTTCTACCCCGTTTGTATATAAATACATGCTGATTTAGCATGCCATAGTCTACTAAATCAATTTTGAGTACTAATACGCACCACCCTTGTGTGTTGGCAAAAACTATGAAAATATGGTATAATGAAAGTATCTGGTAAAACCTATTACTTTCACTTACTTAAGCTAGAGATATATGCTTTGTTGAATCATATTACTACAAGTTGTCACATTTTGACTGCACCTTACGGTAACAACATACATTTTCAGGTCCTTCACCATATGCTGTCGCTTATTTCTGTAGTCTTTGCTATGTATTCTGGGGAAGGACAGTTGTACACATACATGTGTCTCATCTCTGAAACAACCACACCTGGAATCAACCTCCGATGGTATCTGATGAAATGAATGTGCACTGTTTTTTTAATCATCTTATTACTTCAATGTATCTGACCTGTTCTGTCATCAAGGTTCCTTGATACCGCTGGAATGAAAAAATCCAAGGCCTATCTTGTCAATGGTGTTACGATGTTTGTTGCATGGCTGGTATGTTACTACAATGTAATTTCATGCTGCAAGTTATGAAGAACACATTATCTGCTATTTGTCATAGAATATTCTAATATGCTTTAATATAATGCTGTGTATCTATACTTCACTAAACATTTCCCATCTCTCTTGGTCTATATGAGGCTGGAGGATATTTTATATACATTTCTCATTCCCATTTCGCTTTGTGCTTCAGTATGATTATTTTCAATTAGAAATATGAATGCTAACAACTGGTAGCTGTGTTTAATTGATTTGTCCTAATCAGTGCCAGTCGTTCTTGTACTGCTTAGTGACTTTCTATTATTTTCTCTCTAATTGTGGAGAACCAATTGCTTCATGCAGGTGGCACGGATAATTTTGTTCATCTACTTGTTTTACCACATCTACTTCCACTATGATCAGGTATTTTTCTCGTCACATAAAAACTAGGGTACACATCAATATCTCACCGATGATTTTGAAGCTAAATCTGTTTGACAATAAACTTATCTTGTTATTCTATTTTGACAGGTCAAGCAGATGCATACCTTTAGCTGCATTCTGGTATTTTCTGTGCCCACGATACTGCTTGTCATGAACATAATGTGGTTTGCGAAGATCTTGAGAGGCCTTAAAAAGACGCTAACCAAGAGGCAGTGAAAAGAAGAATGGTAACACAAGCTCAAGGACATCGACAGCCATCCTTTCGTACAGCCACTTTACTGTTACATGCACTTCCCGAGTAAAGCCATCAGTGCAGCTTGTAGCACAAGCTAAAGCCCTTGTACATGATCCTGAAATATGCTATAAACAGCTCAATTTTTCCCTGGATGCTCTGCCTTGTACATAAGGCCGTCTGGTTATGGTGGAGGATGTTTTTTTTCCCTGTGGATTGGATGCTTCTACACCTTAACAATTTAGTTAGTCTTATATAGACCTAGGAAGGTTGAAATTCGCCGCTTTTAACTACAGGTTATGCAGCTCTTACCGTTCTGACTTCAGAACTGTGTCGGATGCATTCTCTATCCGTACAATTAGAGTTGCAAGCAGTACTTCATATCCAGGTGCTAAATTCTTCATGTGCGGTTTCAGTTATTGATTGCCAACTCTGATAATTCTCGTTGTGCAGGTGAGTTAAGCGGTCACAAGGAGATAAATGAAAGCATGCAATGGCTGTTTGAATTTGGATTCTTTTGATCTTTTTGTTAGATGTAGGTTGTCCTCTAGCGTTTCTACTGTGTTTGGTTTGATCGGTCCAGCTTGTATTGATTTGGTGGTGTCCAGTGTTTATACCTGGAAATGTTCACTCTTTTCAGGCAAAATCTGGAGCAGAAAGAAGATTTACTTACTACCTGGTTTTGATGCATCCTAGTATGCAATTTTTATAGTGCAATCTGCACGTCTTAGTATGGTCCATATCGTTTTATTCTACACAAAGTGTATACCTGCTGACTGCCCTGTTCATGAATCATGAACAACCGTAACAACGAGTAGCAATAGATAGGATTGCCAAGCTCTTTTTTTTTTCTACGATAGGCTGCGGCTAAGCAGCCCTTGGAACGACCTCAAGAGGTCCTTGTTTTCTGCACCGAAGATCTCATCCGCCTTCCTCAGGGTCTCCTGCAGTACAACAGTGTACGCGAATATCAACAATTCGGCGCCTGAAGTTGTGAACAAAATCTTTTGAAAACTGAAACTTGGGTCAAAAGCTTCCCACCTCTCGAGATTGCCTATGGGCGTTGAGCTCCTTGATATTGGCAAGAAAAGCCGCAAATTGTTCGTACGACAGGCGACTTCTGGGGATGTGAATTCAACTAGTTATGGTATTTTTCTACGAAAAGTACTGGACATATACCAGGGCAAGCATGGGGACAAGCATACCTTGCTTGACGAAAGAACTCTTTGCCATCTACTCTTGTACCGCGTCCTGATTCAGAGTTCGCCGAGAAAATGTCAGGGGAAAAATGTTAATGGATTGCCTCGTGTGCCACTAAGGATCTGAATGCTCTCACAACTCACAAGCACTACCTGAGGTAGAGTGTCCACGAGGAGGCGAGTTGGCTGCAGAGGACATCTTGCTGGAGGGCAGCCATGGCGACATCGCCATGTGGCCCTCCAATCGCGGCGAGGTGGCGCCGGACGCCAGTTTGGGCGACACCGCCGTGGAGTACCTTCTCGGGGATGTTGTTGCGGCGGTTCTCAGCTTCGTCGCAGGATCCGAGGTGAGGCGTGGAGTGATGTGCGTGATGGTCAGTTTCTGCTCAAATGGCCTCGTTACTGCTCGAAGAAAGCGTACAGGACACAGACAGGCCAAAGGAGCATCAGAAGCTATGATTGAAAAAGACTTGCAAGATTGTGAAGATGCATGTCATGGTCACATATCTTACCTTCCTGATTTATGCTTTCGGCTTCGTTGGATTCGTCGGATAGAGAGGATGCTGGATGGCTGTTCTCTAGTCCATCTTCAGAAAGGAAAAGGATGCAGAGATGTACAAAACAGAGTGGTAAGACAGTGCAACCGCAAGTAGACGAGACGTTGTGCAAGGGACAGACAGTACCTTTCCAGGAATTCGCTTTTGCCACCGATTGCTCGCAGGTTCTTATGTCTACTGTTTCCTGAATCTGTTAAGGGGCACGGAACATGAGGACATCGGCAATGAAAATGATCTTTGCCCTACTGCTTAGCAGTTAGCACAAACCAATATGTTTTTTTTTGCGAACACGCTTATGCATGTATGTCATTAAGTGGATAGCAGGGATTACAAAGCATCACTGTCATACGAGTGAGATGCCCGCATTTGGTGATGCCGAACAAGAGGGAGAACAACACAGAAGAGGACTGCTAAGCAATATGTTGAGTTGTTGACACCTAAAATTGTCCAAAGTGCTCAATGGACTGCAGAGAGGAGGATCAACTTACTTGGGAATTGTCATCGCCCAGCGATTGCATCAGATGCCGCTTGAAGGTTTCCAGCTGCATGTCAGTTAAAAGAAATAGAAAAAAAGAGAGAGGAAGAAACAAAGAACTAATGTGAGCTTACAGCTGACTAGCTGAAATACACTGATGTTGATCACATCACAAAAGGCAATCACCTTGGCGAGGTCCCTGGCCAGCTTCTTGGACGTCTGCGCGAGCGAGTCCCGCTCCTTGACCAGCTTGGCCTTCGCCGACGCCAGCAATCGCAAAATCCAAATCAGCCACCGGTCATCAGTAACAGTAAGCAGGCAAGACGCCAAGGCACCGCCAAAAAAGCAACAGAATTCAAAGCAAATGCCAGCAGCCAGGCGAGAGCGCGAGGTGGAGAATGATATGAACTCTTACGTTGTCGTCGAGCGCGCCGCGGAGTCGCGCGTCGGCGTCGCGGAGTGCCAGCTCGAGCTTGGCGGCCCTGTCGGCGAGCTCGGCGGCGAGGCGGTCCCTGTCGGCCAGCCTCTGCCGTAGCCGCGCGGCCTCGAGCTCGAGGCGCGAGGCCCGGGACGCCACGGCCACGGCCGTGATCTTGCGCGCCACCTCCAGCTGCTCGTACGGGTCCGGCGGCAGCGCGGCCGCGATGGCGTCCGGCAGCTCCGCCTCCGGCGCGGGCTCGGGCCCCGGTGAAGGCTGTGCAGCAGTGGCCGAGGCCGTGGGCGTAGGGGTCTGCGTCATTGGAGGCGGAGAGCGTGCTAGTGGTGGTGGTGATGCGGGTGGCGAGATCCGAAGCTGGGAGCCACGGTGGTTTATCATCGGGAGAGCCCGGGCCGTGGACTGTGGGGGCGCGACGAGTGGCGGTGGCGGTGGCGGGGTTGCTTTGCGTGCATTTGAATACTACGCGCCGCACGTGCAAAGAGAGTTGTCCTTCTCTATCCCTTCGGCTTTGTGCCACTGCCACCTTGGGTCGACGAGGCGACGCTGGCCGAGCCGCAGAGTGCTCGGTGCTCCTCTCCGATTAACAAATTCCAGTGCTGAGCGGTGTGCAGTGCAGCCATATCCACCCATCCATTCAGTTCTTCGCGGACCACCTGGCAAGCGATTTGTCGTGGATCAGCACGGAGACATGGCGGCAAAAGTTTTTGTTAGATACTCCCCATGCCAGTTAAAATGGTTCGCGTTTCACCAAGTTTCGAGTGAATGGTGATTATATTTATGGCTCAAAATACATTTCGTAATTAATATAAGAGTATTTATTTGATATAATAAATATTGATATTTTTTATTTATAATTTGTCAAACTTATAATATATACTAAAACACAACTAGAATTGCATTCTTTCTTTGACTGAGGGAGTACTCACTCTAAAATAAATGTATCGCCTGTTTTTCAGCACTACTTCAACAGTATTTTTCAGCGAAGGAATGGTGTTTTCCTCTCACAACAAATTAGCAACAGCAGCAGCCAAAATTTCAGCGAAACGAACAGGGTCTATATCTTATTTTATAAGTAAACTACTTTTAAGCTTAATTAAATTTATAAAAAACTAGTATCGATATTTGTATCTCTATAAATATGCTTACCATAAAAATATATATGACGTAAACGGTGTTTATTTCGTACCATAACATTGGTACTTTTTTTTACATATTCAAATAAATTTTGAGATTGGTGATCCTGGAGGATCCACTTTTATATTAAGATGTAATAAGTAATCTGTGCTTCGTCCGGCTTTCAATTCCGTCGTTGTAGTATAGTGGTGAGTATTCCCGCCTGTCACGCGGGTGACCCGGGTTCGATCCCCGGCAACGGCGCTTTTTTATTTTTGTTCCATTTCCTTTTTTTATTTTTCTTCCTTTTTTTCCTTTTTTATTTTCCTGTTTTAGGGGCCTTGTGGCGTTGCAACTTGCAACCCGGGTTCGATCCTCGTCAGGCCTGGCTGCTGCGGCCTTGCGTGGGGAATCCAGCGCCCTCGTGGGGAAGGTGCTCGGCGGCGGCGCGCGGGAGAAGGAGCCCGGCGACAGAGGAGGATCTCGGAGGCGGCGGCGCACGGGACGAGAAGCCCAGCGGCTGCGCCAGTGCCTCTCGAGCGACTGTGCAAGAAGCGGCTCCAAACAGGGCCAAAAGTCGGCCCACTCACCTGCTTCTGGAACCAAGCCTGAGGTCGGTCCAACGGCTACCTCTTCGGGCTCCACCGCCTCTGCTTCCACAGATTCTCGGATCCGGTCCCGCACCGCTCAAACCCTAAACCTTTCCTCTCCATCGGAGTCTCGCCGCCGCGCCATGGCGGCGGAACCGCCAGAACCCGCATCCTCGCTGGATGCCCAGCTCGCGGCCTCCTCCTCCACCGCCGCCGTAGCCGGCGTAGGCGGCCCCAACCCGTGCTGCGCGAAGGTAATTGACCCTCCCTCTTCTCACCATTGCGCCGCATCCTGTCTTGTTCCGTTCTTGACGTGCCTTCTTTCTTGGGGTGTTTTCTTTTGGGGTTTGCCCGTTTGGGTTCCGCAGCTGTGGAAGAAGTACCAGAAATTGGAGACGAGCCGGACGGCGCTGCGGGAGGCGGTGAAGCTCCTGCAGGCCGAGAACGAGAAGCTGCAGAAGGAGAACTCGGAGCTCAGCAAAGGTTCCTAATGTGTTCCCTGATTTCTTTTCCCAGTGCGCTGCTTTCTTTGTTTTTCTTTCCTGCATTACGATTCTGGTTACAAATAGAAAGAAAAGATCACCCTAAGTATGCAGAGGTAACGCACATGTTTAGACTGTATGCATTATATCTGGTAATTCTTGAGACCAACATTTTGTGTAGTTATACTATAGATTTTTGTGATTTCTGCTGAAAGGCAAGTATTTTGGCTCTTCCTTTTTCATACCTAGGCTGCACTCTAAGAAAGTCAACTTTTTTCTTATAAAAAAAACTACTTCTATGAAGTATCTGATACTCTAAATTCTAATTTCATAGCATGCTGGTAGCATGCTAGCAGGAATTTTAGCAGAAGGTGCCTATCACAGAGAAGATGTCTTTCAAAGTATGTCTGATTTCTCATTAATGCTTCATGTATTTGTTAACATCATGTTTGATTTCTCTTCAATGCATCTTTTATTTGTTAGCATCTATTAGCCCCCCAATTTTATCCTTACCGTAGTACACTCTAAAACACTTGATTACGTGATTTGATGTCACACACCCAAAGCATATGTAATTCTTGATGAACAGTTATGTGTATCATGCATACATCTTGAAACCATTCTTATGTTATCATGCTTTAATGCTGTATTCTCTCTTTTTTTTCTTTGATGAATAGTGTGCAAGGAGGAACGCCTCCGAGGTGATTCAGCAGAAGCAGCTAGGGCAACTGAGTCTGATGCCAGAGATCTACTGGAAAAGGAGATAATTGAATTAAAGACACAGAACTCAAGTTTGAAGCAAACACAAAATACCTGCAAAAATAATGATGAACTTTTACACATCTCTGAATTGGAGGAAGAAAATAGAAAGCTCATACAGGTTTTAGGAGAAGAAAGGAAGAAGATGACTTCTGAGAAGAAAAAATTTGAAGAAGAAAAGTGCAAAACTCTAGAAGTTCAAAGGATATTGAAGTCAGAAACACAGAAGTCTGAAGAGTATAGAAGAGTGGCTGATACGGAAAGAAAAGTTGCCAATGATTGGAGAACATCATGTGAAAGGTTGAGGAGTGAAGCAAATGAAATCAGAGCACAGTTAACTGCTCAGGTTCAGAAAACAGAAGAAATGCTTAAAAGGGTTGAAGCGGAGAAGCAGAAGGTAGCCAGAGAAAAGAAACGTGCTGATTCAGAGAAATCATTAGCTGAAAAGAACAAAACACTTATTGAAGTTGAGAAGAAAAAAGTAAAGGAAGAGAAGTGCCGTGCTGACAGTTTATTTGCAAAGTTAGAGGAGCAGAAGAAACTCAATGAAAATTTGCGAACTAGCATGCAGGTTGAAACAAAGAATGCAATCGAAGAGAAAAAACGAGCAGACCATTTGTTCCAGAAATTAGAAGAGGTGAGAAAACAGACTGAATACTTACAGAGAAAGACAAATGAATTCTCTGCAGCTAGAGATGTAATTTCTTCTGGCAAGTATGGGCAGCGACATGTTGATAGAACTTCTGAGAGTGCAGATGTAAAGCTTCTCAAAGAGAAGCTTAAGCTGAAGAAAGAACAACTAAAGCATGTAAAGAATGTGTCCAAGCTAGATAAAGCAAAAACTGCTTTAATAAGAAGAGAGCTTCAACGTTTAAAGCGAGACTGGATGCAGCTACTGAGTCGGTTTAACATGCTGGATGACCACCTTGCTCGCGGTGTTGAAGGTATTCATGTCTTAACAGAGGTCTGTATCCTGCATTCTAGTTATTACTGTCTTCATCTATGTTTGTGAAGGTAATTTTGGAAAAAACAAGAATTTCTTAGCAATAGGTAATAATAGTTCTGACATCCTAATAGAACAATGAACTGTTCTTCATCTCTATGCAATTAGGCATTTGTTCATGGACTTTCTTTCTTCTAATGCTAATAAAAAATTGATTTGTTAATGAAATCATAGGGGGGCAGTCATTCCATTTCTGAAATAGCACCTTTTCTCAGTCTTCATTTTTGTCCTAAAAAAATCTTCTTTATTTTTCAAAGTATATGAGTGGGGAAAGCGTCATAAGATGTGCACTTGCAAGTACCATGAGTAAATGCTTGGATATACCTCTCTGATCACTAACCCATGTCATTTCGTACTTGGGGTGGTCGATAAGATTATTTTTTTCTCATATAATTCCATATAGCCTGCTAGATCATACTAAAAACATTCTTATTGCATTAAAGTATTTTATACGTAATTGTTTCATGCTGATGGTTCTCTGTTCATAGTATAATCATTTCTTTAGGAAGCTGGCCGTTTCCACACACTGTTGCAGAAATTTTATCATGCTACTTCTTTAGTCTGATGATAGTATCATCATTTCTGCGATTTTTTTTCCTGGCTACTGCACACATAAAAAACCCTATAAAAATAGAAAATTTGGGACTCTTAGGTAAAGGGTGTAACTTTTAAGTCAAGCACTCCATGATATTTCTCCAAGGCTACAGGCCCACCACGCGGACAATGTGGCACCAGCCCGGAAAATAAAACTACTCAACCTGCTTTATATTATCAGAGAGGAGAAATATTGCAGTAGCCATGCCTGTTTTAAAAGGGCAAACATTTCGAAAAGGGTGATTCTCAAGATAATGGTCAGAATTTGTGAAACAGAGGGGATGTCTTTAATGTTGTGGTTGCCCCGGTGGGCTGTGACTTCACATTGGCAAAAATGATGTTCTTTTTGTCTTTATGTTTTCGGCGAATAGAATGCTGGGTCAAACTAATATATCACTTATGTAATGTAATGTTGATATGCATTGAAATGCCACATTATTGGTTTCCTCTAGATCACTGTACAGTGCCTATGAATGAGCAGTTGTAATTCATAAATTATATGTTGTAGTAGATATGACCTGCGTATTCTTTGATCTTGTTCCTGATATATTGCATATGTTTTTTTTAAGTTCGTTTATACTTGTTATGTTCTATCTATATAAACTGATGTGATTACTGGCATTGTCTCATATTTACAGTTGAATCAGCATCCGGAGAGACGTGGCTTTGAACAGAAGCTGCTTCCTAATGATTCAGTTCCTGCCCCATATTTTGGGTTGCAGGCTGGGATAGTTCCATTTGGCTCTTCTATCCCAAGTGAATACACTTCATATCAGTTACCCAGAGAAAGCTGCTCACGACCAATCTCAGGTACTAGTTCTGAATTAGGGCCCCCTC